AAAGTAAATAAATAAATGATTTTTAAAAAAAGAAATAGTAATTACCTTAGGTTTTGTGATCATACACATCATGCACTCTGTCATAACTGCTTACCTGCCATCAGTGCAAGAGCAGTCGTAGGCAATGTAAACAAATATAATGCATGCGGCAAGTCTAATCTGGATAGCAGTTTTGTTGAGGCACGAGTGGCTTATGTCATCACCAAATATATTTGACTGGGCAACTAAGCTTCACAAAATAAATTATTAATTGGCTGAAGCAGTTACATAAGCTGAAGATTCAGAAGGTATTTGAAAAAATCTGGACTCTAAGCTAATTTACTGGGACCCTTCTATCACCTTGTTTTGAATTTTTTCTTTTTTAAATTTAACTTTGAAGAGTAAAAACAAAAGCAAAAACAAATAGCAGAAGCAAAGACAGAAACAGGGTAACATACAACAATACATATGTTACAGATTTTCAAAATGATAATAGCAAATTAACAATGGTTGTTATATTGCCTATTTTCATCAAAAAATATGGAACGCTTCACAAATTGGCATGGCATCTTTGTGCAGGAGGCCATGCTAATCTTCTCTGCATTGTTCCAATGTTAGTACATGTGCTGCTGAAGCGAGCACTTTTCTCTTTAAAATTAAAAAAAATCTGGACTCTACATAGTTCAAAGCTGTTTCTCAGGGGCGCAGCATGTGCTGGATTCAGCTCAGGGGCCTCTAGTCTACTTTCAGCTTACCTAGGAGGCTGAACCGGGGTACCAGGTATCGATGTTCTGCTGTCTGAAGTAGAGGAGCCAGGCTATGAAAGAGGTAAAATGCTCCTGCCTGCTGGGCTTTTTTACATGCACCATCATCTTCTTTCAGCTCAAATAAATACCTGTATTGGGGAAATAAGCCATTACAAGACCACACTCAGTTGTACAGCATCCATTTTTGAGAACTGTGCTCCTGCATCCTTCTACTACTATTATTTCCCTTTATTTATTTATATTCTCATTTGCCCCGAAAATGATGCGTGGTGATGCCAGGCAGTCACCCATTCCCTCTTTCATCCTACAACACACCTTGCCCATTCTTCATGGGCCAATACCATTCTATCTCCCTAGAAAGACTATGAACTCCTTAAAAGCAAGGTCTGTCTTTCTCTGCCTGCATGCTTAGTAATTAGCAGGTTGAATGGCTCAATTCAATATAAATATTTATTGGGTTGAACTTCAAGGGTAATAAATATTTACTGAATTGAACCTCAAGGTACTTTGCCAATATTACACTGTGAGGCAAGAATTTACAGGCAGTGGAGTGAAAGGAAAACAAGTACAATGATAGCAAAATCAGTGATGGAATCTTGGAGATGGTAGTAAACACTATGTATACCTTTAGCAACTTTCATTCAATCTAGAGAAGACTAGGAATGTGTTTTACCTTCAATGTACCCTTCTCTCAAATGTCTACCTTTCAACATGGACATTCTTAGATCCTCTCTTTGTCTTTTTCAGACCGGACCTCACTCTGTAGTGCAGGCTAGTCTTAAACTCACTTTGTAACCTGGGCTGGCCTTGAACTCACAGTGATCCTCCTACCTGTCTCCCAAGTGCTGGGATTACAGATGGGCACAACACACCCAGACTTTATCTATCAAACATTTTTTTATTAGTATATGTTTGCAGTACATAAGGATTCCAGCATTGTAGAGTTGATACCTATATATAACACATCTTCATTCCTTTTACTGCCCCACCCCTAACTTATCTATATTGAAGGAACCACTCACGAACCCTATACTTGAATTACTTAATAAGGATAGTATTTCCAGAAGCCAAAATAGAAATGTGGAAAAGAACATTCTCCTATTGGTTTCTGAATAAGAGATAATGATAGAGCAAGTTCTAGGCTTTTTTCTATCACTCTTTAAGGGTGACCTTTCTTTTTAAGAGCTTCGAGGGCCGGGGAGATGGCTCAGTAGAATAAGCGCTTTTCTGGCAAGTGCAAGGGCCTAAGTTCAATCCCTTGTTCCGAAAATAATAATAATAATAATAATAATAATAATAATAATTCTAAACACACTCAGCCCCCTCATCTTTGGGGGCCTGCCCATTAGGTCAGTGGTTTAAGTGCCTGCTGAAACAAAGCAGTGAGGCTCAGGATGCTGTGGTTTGATTCCCAGATCCTCAAGCCAAACCAGACCTGCCCTGAAGGAATCCTGAGGCCACCAAAAAACCCACAAAAAACAAAAAACAAAAAACAATCTTGGGGCTGGGGAGATGGCTCAGGGGAATAAGTGATTCCTTGGCAAGTGCAAGGGCCTGAGTTCAATCCCTGATTCTGAAAAGAAAAAAAAAAAAAGAGCTTTGAGAATAAAATCAGGGTCCATGTGATTCAGTAGAGATTGAGTATAAACTTGTTGGGGCTTAGGATTCACCATTTTTTGCCTTCAAAAGCTCTAAAACAGGATCTCAGGAATATGGCATATTTTGTTTTGTTTTTGCATATTTTGTTATGTAATGGAAAATATAATTTACAGATATTTTGGGTAGGATCTGTGAATGTACATAACACCCATAGGCACAGTTGGTACAAATGAAAATACAAAGCAGGGGCCGGGGAGATGATTCAGTGGAATAAATGCTTCCCTGGCAAATGCAAGGGCTTGAGTTCAATCCCCAGTTCCAGAAAAAAAAAAAGCAAAATAGCAAATTCCAGCAGCCATCTTTAGGAATCTATTTTGACTGTGCAGTCAAAGGAGCTGCAATGAAGTCTTTATAAATAGAAATCAAAAGAAACTTGATCTTTTAAGACTCCTGGTATTTTTAAACTCATTTTGAGTGACTAGAGCCACCTGGGGCAAAGACTCGATGTATAACAAAGGAGAGAGATGTGCCTCTCAGAAGTTACCAAATATACACAATAGAACAAACACGGCTGCCTTCGTAAAAGAGCCAGTGGTACAACCTGTGCTTTGCCCTAATGACCCTAAAAAGCAAAACACCTACAAAAACATACAGGTTAAGGTCTTAAACACAGGGTATCACTGGAACTGGAACTGAGATCTAAAAGTTCATACATTCTTCCTTATAAAAATACTTATTTTTTTAAGAAATTCTTTAAAAATTCATTTTCTTCTTTTAGTTAAAATAGCATGAAAACCACTATACTGATTATCAAGGCTGAAAATATTTATTTTTAAACTTTAGCTAATTTCTTATTATAACAGTGAAAAGTCATTCTTTAAGTAGAATATATAATTGCCAATTTTTATAAGAAAGAAAACCATTAGCAACCCCACCAGTCAGAGATGAACATTGTTTGCAGTCTATATTTAGAGTCAATCATGCCTGCTCATCTGAATCCTTTTTATTTATTTTTTTTCTTTTTTCTTTTTCTTTGGTACAGGCTCTCGCTGTGTGGCTCGGGCTCATAGTGGTCCTCTCTCCGCCACCCCAGCCCTGGGATTACAGGTGTGCACCACCACACCCAGATTGGGAGGCGGGTGGGGCTTGCCTAGCATGCAGTACTGGGGATGGAACACAGGTCCTTGCTCTTGCCAAGAAGGCGCTTAGATCGCAGAGCTATTTCCCCAGACCAAGCCTTTTTTTCTAAAGACTTTTACATCATTATTTACTGACAAACTTTTTTTTTTTTGCTTTTTTCATGATTTTGACTCATTAAAAATTTTTTTTTTTTATTTTTGGCTTCACTTTAAATATACTTAACCTGGGGCTGGGGTGGTAGCTTGACGGTCTAGGAGCCTGCCTAGCAAGCACAAGGACCTGGGTTTGACCCCCGGTACCACATGCAGTGCAGGCCCCTAGAACCCTGGCTGTACTGAGCCAGTCACCAAGACCGGGCATGGTGGCATACACCTGTAATCCCAGTGCTGGGAAGGCTGAGACAGGAAGATCACTACAAATCTGAGCTGCATAGCAAGATCCTGTACCAAATAAATAAATAAAATACTAAAATAAAAAATAAATAAAAATATTAAAACAATTTACAAATGTAATTAACCTCTTCAAGATACTTGTTACACTTTAATCAATAATTCTGTTCTTATTTTTTAATTTTCAGTTTGAAAAAGCACAGGAAACATGTGTATCAATACCTAAAATAAATATTGTAATTCTGTTTCTTGTTTACTCTTGCTTGTGAAGGATTCTATGCTTCTGTACTGGCTAAGTTTTGAACTGTGCCCTCAAGACTGGCCGGCCTTTGCCGTGGGAAATCCTGGTTGTGCATGTGTTGCTCCTGAACGGCTTCACACGAGCACTCGAGCACTCGCAAGGTGCCCCCGAGGTACTGCCAGTCTAAGCTTAATGGTGAGAATTCATTTCTTGGGCCACAACACACAGATTGTATAAATTTACACTCTATAACTAGATGAAAGAAGGCTAGTGATTTCAAATGTCTCGGGGCATCTGAAAATGGGGATTAAAGCGCCTGCAAGCAGGCCAGGGGCTGGTGGTTCCATCCCCTGGGCCTGCCGTGCTGGCCCCGCCCCCAGGGCGCACTGAGATGGCAATTGAGACTGGGCGTGAACATGTAATCTCAGCTCGTGGGAAGCTGTAAACAGGCGGATCACTACAAGTCCGATCTAGTACTGAGATCCTGAACACCCTGCAGACCCTTCCTAAAATACAAAAAAAAAAAAAAAAAAAGTCTCTAGGATTAGACAAAAAAGCCTTTTATCATCTTCCTGTACTGTTGTTATCCACATGTAATATATTATATATTGTCATATGTAAATTATATATCACATATGAATTAACCATTTTTATAATAAAATTACTGTTTATACCACATAAAACACCACATAGTTTTATATATTCATATTTATATTATAGTTAAGTTCATATCAAAATTAATGTTTATATTATATAAATTATATTATATATATTATTTTTTAAAAATTTATGTATTTGGTACAGGGTCTTGCTACGCAGCTCAGACTCATAGAGATCCTCCAGTTTCAATCACCCCAGTGCTGGGATTACAGGTGTACACCACCACCACCATGCTTGGTCTTGGTGGCTGGCAGGGTACAACCAAGGCAGGGCCAGCATTGCATGTCGTACCAAGATTGATTCCCAGGTCCTTGGGCTTGCCAGGCAGACATTTAGACCGCTAAGGTGTGTACCCAGTCCCATTTTTTACCCTAGTCTCCCATCTTTGAGGTTTAGTTTTGGGGGCGGATGTTGGAGTTATCCCCAGTATTTTCAGGAAACTTCATGAAATAGCATTCAATATAGCTTTTAATGCATTTACTATTCCATTATGTGTATGTACTTTAATCTCTCCCTTATTGTGCTTTCATTCAGCAATTCTTCAGTGAATGTTACACAGCAGGCACTGTATTATGCACTAAGGGGACCACAGCAGAAAAGACAAAGTCTTATTATTATTTTTTTTTCTGTATTTTAGGGAAGGGTCTACAGGGTGTTCAGGGTCTCACTACTAGATCAGACTCCTAGTGATTCTCCTGTTTACAGCCTCCCAAGTGCTGGGATTACAGGCGTGCCAACACGCCCGTTCTTAATTGCTGTCTCAGCTTGCGGGGCCAGACCGGCAGGCCCAGGGATAGAACCCCCGACCCCTGTGCCTGCTTGCAGGCACTTTAATCCACTGAGCTATTTGGCCAGCCTTAAAGTCTTGTTATTTTAAGTATTTTAGATATTGTAGGAAACTTTGTTCAACTTTTTTTCAGTTATAAGCAATATACAATGATCATCCTTATGGGTAATTCTATCACACATCTTTGATACAGGATTTTGAGAGAGTTCAATTTTATAACAGAACAAGATACCAAGTGGAGCTCAGGTTGGTCAAAACTCACCGTGCCTTAGTTACGTAGGTTGACAGCAACCTATAGCCCTGTGAAATTTTTCTTCTATAAGCTATTCCACAATAAAGAGACATTACCAGGTCCCTAGAGAAAAAGAAAAGGAGCTTAAAAAGTCATAGTATGCAATTTAAAGTAATGAATCACCAAGGGAGTTATATTTTAAGCCAGGATAGGATCATGTAGCAAAACTAAGAAAAGAGAAACTAAATAGGAGTTAAGTGATTAGGTTTTTCCATTGCATTTCTACCATTAACTGATACTTCTTTCCAAACCTTTGGAATTGAAACTTGTGTTGTCATGTTAGTAAGTTGTGAGAATCATCAAATTATCCACAAAAAATATAGACTCCTCTCTCATGTTGTAGACTTGTTAGTGGGAGGTGGCTGTCCAGGCACTGACCTCCATCTCCTTTGTATCTAGGTGAGGATGTGTATCCATTCCAGGTTGAAGCAATTAAGGAGTGGGTATAAACTGGTGTATGGTGGCGCCTACCAGTAATCCTACACTCTAGGAGGCTGAGGCTGGAGAAATGCAAATTTGGGCCCAGCCCTGGCAATTTAATGAGAACATGTCTTAAGATTTTAATAAGAGCAGGGAATGGAGCTCTGTGCAAAGGCCCTGGATTCAAACCCCAGTACAAGGAGAAAAAAATAGGAGGGAGTATACTATATTCACCCTCTTTTTTCCCTCTACTTAGAAAATACCAAAGGAAAAGATAGAGTTACTAGATAGAGAAGCCTGTGTCCTTGATTCACACATGGACAAAAGTCACCCACTAACCTAAGACCCTCTGCACTGGATTATTTGTTAGTGAAATATAAACTTTGAGGCTGGGGTGATAGCTTAACTGTCTAAGCACCTTCCTGGCCAGCACAAGGACCCAGGTTTGATCCCCAGTACCACATGCTGTGCTAGGTGGCACATGCTTGTAATTCCAGAGCTGGGGAGGCTAAGACAGGAGGATCACTATGAGTCTGAACTGTGTAGGAAGACCCTATATCCAATAAATAAATAAGTGAATGAAAAATAAACTTTGATTAGAGGCTGGGAGAAGTAGCTCAGTGGTAGAGTGTGGTTTGGCAGGTACAGGGACTTAGTTAATCTTAAGCACCACAAAAGATAATAAAAACTTCTACATTAAACCACTAAATTTTTAATTCAATTTTGTTTATATTCTGGTGGTAGATTGAGCCCAGGGCCTCATGAATACTCAGCTAGGGTTGTACCGTTAAACTATACTCCCAGCCCTTGACCACTGAAATTCTGTATGTGTTTGTTATTGCAGCTAGTATTACTCTAAATAGACCAAGTAACAAGCCTGGGCTATCTCCAAAGTAACAAAGCCAAGTTTCGCAGAGTAAATAATACCCAACGTACCTCTGAGGAGTAGATAGAAACCCAGTAGGTAAGAAAAATTTTAAATCATTGCTATTTGAAAAATATTTCAAAAGACAGCTATAAAATTCATATGGATCAAAAAAATCCCTATTTTTTTTTTTTTTTTAGCTCATTGGGAAAGAAAAAAAAATATCCGTCTGAACAATTCATTATGCAAAAGATGGTTTCTTTTCTTTTCTTTTTAAGTGGTGCTATGTATTGTACCTAGAGCCTCATGCCTGGTAGGAAAGTTCTGCAGAATTGAGCTATAGCCCAAGGCCAGTGGTTCCTTTTAGTTTGCCTATCAGTAAGCATTTCATTTCTTGTGAAAGGGAACTTTCATTTTAGGAGCAAAAATGTGAAGTAATTCCACTTAAAATGTGAAAAAAAAAAAACCCAAAACAGTACAGTTAAATAGCCAACCACCCTTTCAACTGTGCCCAACAGATGCAAACTTTGACACTAACCTATCAAGGGAATATCTGAAGTTCTGGACTGCTTCTTGGTTACATAATTATGAGTCACTGATGACTAACCCTTGAATAGTTTTCACTGCAACCTGTGTGCTAAATATATTTAGCAAATGAGAGTCAACAAAATGTTTATTGGCTACTGACTTTGGGCAAGGTCTCTCTCTCTCTCTCTTCTTTTTTTCTGAGACACAGTTTTGATATGTAGTTCAGCTGGCCTGGAACTCACTATGTTGCTCAAGTTGACCTCTAACTTGTGACAATCCTCCTGCCCCAACTTCCTGAGTTCTGGGAGAGGCAAGATCTTGTAAGGAACACAAAAATATAAAAAATGAAAATTCCTGCCTCAAGAAACCCTAACAGGTGAGAAAAAAACAAATGCCTAACTTTCACAGAAAACTGTGATACGTAGGTGGCAAAGCACTCTGAGTCAGTATTAAAGGTAAGGTTCCTATTTTATTTTTCAATTAAAAAGTCTTTGTACTTAAATTCAGAGATTCCATATTCAAAATATTAATAATTTGCAAGTACTAGAAAAACTCATACTCATGGCTGCTGCGTGGATGATAATGGCATAGCCATCCAACGTAATGCTACTCAGCAACAAAGAACAAACTTACAGGATGCAGTGACACAGATGTACTTAAGGGCTTTTTGTTAAGTGAGAGAAACTTGATGCAAAAGATTCTGTTAATATTCTAGAAACTCTAAAAGTTCCAGATCAGACTGGAACTGATTAAAAAGTAGATTACAGCTAGCTTCAGCCTCACGCAGCCTTTCCAGTAGCTAGGATCAGACATGTGTCACTATGTCCAGCCATGTATAATCCCTATTTTCTAATAATGCAAGAACTTATGTGATATGTTGAAAAGAATGTATTTAAAGTCAGTATTTCTAGCTCAGAAAAAGTAAATTGGTACATACTTTTGGAAATTAATGCAGGGATACTTGTTAAAATGTTAAATAAGCACACCTTTTACCTAAGAATTTCACTTCTAGTAATTTTTTCTAGGAAGGAACCAATATGTGCAAGAATGTTAATAAACTGCACAAGATAATACACACTTATAATTATAGCACTTGGGAAGTTGAGGCAGAAGGATCATGAGTTTGAGGTCAGCCTCAGGTCTACAGCAAGTTTAAGGCTGGCCTGGACTATTGCTATATTCTGTCTCAAAACTAACAAAAGAAAAGCAAAAAAGAATGTTAATAAAAAAAAAAAAAAAAAAATAAATAAAAATATTATAAATGAAATAATATACACTTGATAAAAATAGAAAATATAATAATAAAAAACACATATGTAGTAACAGAAGATTATTCAGAATACATTATTATTATTTAATGTATTTAGTACAGGGTCTACAGGTTTTCACTACATAGATGGACTCATAGTAATCCTCCTGTTTACAGCTTCCCAAGCTGTATTACTTGGGAAGAATTACTGGGATTACAGGCACGTGCCACCACGCCCAGTCTCAATCACCATCTCAGTGAGCTCTGGGGACAGGGCCAGCACTGCAGGCCTGGGGATCGAACCCCTGGCCCCTGCATCTGCCTAAGCAGGCACTTTAATCCACTGAGCTATCTGGCCGACCCAATCAGAATACAACATTAAGAAAAATACAAGAGGTAGTGGGGAGATGTTGGTTAAAGGATACAAAGCTTCAGTTATGATAAATTATTTCTGGAGATCTATTTATTGCATGGTGGCTATAGCTAATAATAGTGATAATAATAATGTATTGTAGGGGCTAGGGAGATAGCTCAGTAGAGTAAGCGCTTGCCTGGCAAGCGCAGGGTCCTGAGTTCAATCCCCGGTACTGAAAAAAATGTATTGTATACTTGAAAATTACTAATATAGTAAATCTTAAATGTCTAAAAAGTGACAAGTATGTGATATTTAATAATTTCCTAATGTATCTATATAGCAAAACATCACATTGTGCTCAGTAAATACAATTTTTATTTGTCAGTTATATCTTAAACTAGAGGGAAAAGAAAGATTTGGTTGCTCAACATGTTCTAATTAATAATTATAAGTAATTATAAAGACTAGGACATATATGGATTCATGGTCAACTTATAATGCCAGCTGAACTGATTCACTGTGGTTGTGGGCGTGGATGGCCAACCTGAGCACTGTCACTAACAGGATAAAAGGAGAACTGGAGAAGAAGATGGTGTGCTGTTGATTCTCCTGGAGAACCCTGTTGTGCTGGTTTCCTGGGTATGAACTCAGCTGTTATTGCTGGAGGAGCTTGGGTCCTTGCTGTCACTGAGGATGGCTGTGCTTCCTTTTGGTGGAGCTCTGGTCCTCACCTGGAGGTCACTTCCTGGCTCCAGGGCAGATCCTTCATCCCACTGGTGCAGACTCTATCTCCCACCTCAGGCCTTTAGGCTTTCCCAGTGCAGATCCTTGATACAGACTTTCATGAGATATTGTCATAGGCTCTGAGTCTCCAGCTGGACTTGCGCAGGACATTGCCACGGGATCCAGGCCCTCAGCTGGATTCTTTAGATATCTAGTGTGTGCAGAGATCTTCTGCACTCTTCTGCATTTGACTTTTTTGGGTATTATATTTTTCTTTTTATTATTTAAAAAAAATCTTTATTTATTTGGAGTGGAAATGAGTACAATGTTTCACTATGCAGCTCGGACTCATAGTGATCTTCTTCTCTCAGCCTCCCCAGTGCTGGGATTACAGGCATGTCTTGGGGTATTATAAAATAATCCTATAAATTATGTTTCTTGTATTAAATCTGTTCCCTTCCAAATCTTGACTACAATAAAATTGGTACCAGGAATGGAATCGTTACTGTGACACTGCCTGATCATATGGTTTAAAAGCCTTGGGAAATAGTTTGGAAAGGTCTTGAGAGACTGGCTGAAAAGGCAGCCCCTGTAGGCTTTAAACTGTATGAGAAGCTCTGGTCAAAGCCTAGAAAATCAGAGCACTGATGGTCAGGATGAGGCTCAGGAAGCTTCTATCAAGAAGGACTGCATCGGCTGCCGGATCCCAGGTGGTGCATATTGTGCTTGAGCAGGAAGTTGGTCTGCATTTTGCTTGTGTCTAGAAAGACTGCCTGGGTGGCAGAAAAATTTCAATGCAGTCTATTGTCGGGATGGTGACATGGTTACTGTTGAAGGCTTTTGGCCAGATCTGTGTTGGAAATTAAGAGTGGTGAGCCAGCTGGATGGGAATTTGAAGCATTTGACCAGAGGGAAGGCTCCAGTGGAGCTGTGGATTACAAGTATGAAACAGAGGAGAACATGGTTGTTAAAAAAAAAAAAAGACCTGAACCTTTCACCAAAAGGGAAGTATGTGTTTAAAATGCAGATCTCTTGAGAGTTTAAGTGTTGCCCTGCACTGTTGTTAAAAATTAATGGAAACCAAGGATTGTGATTATAGTAGTTCTCTTAATATAATTTTAATGTAGTTTTTAGATGCATGTTTGTGATCAGGTTTTTTAGTCAAAGTATTGCGGTTTTAACCTTGACTTTTGAGCACACTTTGAATATTTGCTTTTAGAGTAGAAATGAGTGCAATAAACATTGTATGTAATTGTTATGTTAACATAAATCTGAATAGATCAAGACATGTTAACTTTCCACAAATCTGCCACTGGTGAGTATGGTTTAACAAAATGTGTCTGGTTATTAAGTGGATCAGGGGTAGACTTGGTGGATTAATTAATGGTCAGCGTGAAATACCCAGCTGAATTGAATCAGTGTGGTTCTGCCTGTGGATGGCCCACCTGAGGACTGTTGGGAACAGCATAAAAAAGAACTAAACTGGGTATGGTGGCGTATGCTTGTAATCCTAGCACTCAGGAGGCTGAGACAGGAAGATTGTTACAAGTTTGAGACCAGCCTGGGCTACAAAGTGAGCTCAAGGCCAGCCTGAATACATAGCAAGATTTTGTCTCAAAAAAGACAGAGACAGAGAAAACTGGAAAGGAAGATAGTATGTTGATGTTTCTCTTGGAAAAAGCTTGTTATGCTGGTTTTCCTGATATGAACTCAGGTATTCTCATTGTTGGAGAAGCTTGGGTTATCCTTCCCTGAGGAAGGGCACAGTGGTTTTTTTTTGCAGTACCGGGATTGAACTCAGGACCCTGCACTTGCCAGGCAAGCACTTATTCTACTGAGCTGTCTCCCCAGCCTGGAAGGGCATTCTTTTTGGTCCTTATCTGCAGCATCACTTCCTGGCTCCAGTGCAGATCCCTCAGCCTGCTAATATAGATCCTTCATCCTGCTGGCACAGACATTATAGCTTCCACCACAGACCTTTGGACCTTCCCAGTGCAGATCCTTTACAGACTTGCATGAGACGCTGGGCCTCCAGCAGGATTTGTGCAGGACACTGCTATGGGACCAGGCCCTCAGCTGGATTCTTTGGGTCTCCAGTGTGTGTAGAGATCTCCTGCATTCTTTTGCATTTGACTCTTTGAGTGAGTATTATAAAATAATCCTACAAATTGTGTCCTATGTTAAATCTATTCCCTTGAAAGCCCTAACTACAACATATATTCTAGTATATATAAATTATGTATTAATATTGTTCAAATACACATACTAAACTGTGATAAGGTGGGATAAAGGGAAGGAGATAAAGGTTGAAAGGGGATACTTATGATTTTTACTTTATTTCTACATTCAAAAAAATTTAAGCTATATATACATATTCTTTGTAAGAAAGAATGTGTAAGAAAATAATAGTTCCTGAGACTAACTGCTGAGTGAGGCTGTTTCTAAGCCACTATTTCCAGAAACACCTCACCATATTTCCCACGAGCCACAAGAAATTCCTTTGGTGAGTTCTTGGATCCTTTGAACTGCAAGAACTATTTGGTTGTGGTTGTTACTACCAACTATGGCTCACTGTACTTGGCTGCCCATTGTTTCATCTCATAAAACAAATTGTTTTTACTGTTAAATTAACCTTAATTGTTTGTAGATTACCATAGCCTAAACTATTTGTTTCTTAAAAGTACAAGAAATGGGGACCAGGGAGATGGCTCAGTAAAATATGTGCTTCCCTGGCAAGCACAAGGGCCTGAGTTCAATCTCTGGTTCCGCAAACAAAAAAGTACAAAAAAATGATACATATGAGAGATAACATTACTTTTATCTAAAACTAATACAGTAAATGAGGAGGCAGGGTCCTCAGGAATAACAATTTCTCTGAACCTCTGTCATACTGTAAACGATTCACACACATTTCTTGTCCTGGTCATCTTGCCAGAAGGATTGTTATGCGGCACAAAAGCATGAAGAAAATCCCAATAAAAGTGAAAGCTCATCTCTAACCTTCCTGTTAATCCCAGTGTGAAGAGGCAAGGTCTCCTGGAAGCCCTTTGGAGATCCCCACGCCCAACCCGTTTCTGGGACTGTGGATCTTGCAGAACTGAGGAATCACTGCCACAGATTTCAAGGGTTCTGTGACCTTGCTTCTACAAAAAAACTCTATGGTGTGTATTCTAAAAGATAATCTTTTCCCCCTTAAGTATTCCCTACAGGGGATAGTGATTGCTAAGGCAAAAGGTGAGACGTTAATAAATTTCATTTTTAAGTTTGCCAATGAAATATTAAAAAAAAAATTAGTTTTAGTTAATGAGAATGCCGCAAAAGAGCAGAACTGACTGTTCTCCTGGTTTTGGCAAGAGAATGAAACTAAGCTAAACTGTAAAGTGCTATAACCAAGAGCTTTTGTCAAGTCCAATTATGCCTCCCTCCCTGCATTTACAACCTGAACAGATTTCTTTTTCACTGTACTCACTCTGAATTCTTTTGGGGGTGACTTCCTAGGCCTCAAAAATCAGCAGAAACCAGGAAACACCAAACATTCAAGTTTAAACTGTTTTTCTGGCCGGCAGGGACCACTGCTGCTTCTGCCACACTTCCCAGAATTCTAAAGACACGCTCTGGGAATGTAATTTAATCTCTTAAATCATTAAAAGCATATTTCTGCCACACTTCCCAGAATCCTCCTAGAGAAGCACTCTGGGAATAGTAGTTCAGTTCCCAGGCACACTACTGTGTCTTCCAAGTGCAAAGTTTAGTGTGACTATCAAATTCATGAGCATTTAAGATCTTAATATTAAGAAAACTACTATGCCTTTAGAAAAAGTAGCATTAAACTCTCTTGCTTCCTTTCAAATGTATTTAGTACATGGTCTCACTACACAGATTGGACTCATAGTGATCCTCCGGTTTTCAGCCTCCCAAACGCTGGGATTATAGACGTGCTTCACCAGGTCTAGTCTCAATCCCCATCTCAGTGTGCTCCGGGGGCAGGGCACAGCATGTGATTCCTGGGATCAAACTTGGTCCCTGCATCTGCCTAAGCAGGCGCTTTAGTGCACTGAGCTATCTATCTGGCCCTTAAATTCATTTTTAATAACAAACTGTGAAATTCTTTAAATCCACCCCCATGCACAGAATTCACGTGTTATCAGGGCATATAAAGAGGGCTATGCCCATTTTAGAACTAGTGCTAATATTTATGAAACTGGTCAATTTATAAGGACAGGAAGACTTTGCATATTTGAGCTTTTGGTAGAATGTATCCCTTGAACAATGACCAGAAATGCATTCCATTCCATCTAACTGAAATCAGTCTGACACTAAAGCTACTTTGGCACTGCCCTGTTCTTTTCCTAACTCAGAACCTAGCACTTGCCAGGCAGGTGCTTGTGCCATTAAGCTATATCCTTGGCCTTCAATTCTTAAATTCTTATAAAGCTGTGATGTTTTTGGCATTTACTTGGAGAGAAATGATACCACTAAAAGGGTTATGCAGGAGAATGAGATGATCTCATATGATACCCTGTTTTCACAGCACTGAGGGTTTTCACACTGAACTGTATTTCCAATGCTCCTGTATCAGCCTCCCAGAATGAGGGGATTAAAAGTGTGCACCACCATTCCCTGCATGATTTCCCTTTTTTTTTTTTTTTTTTTTTTTTGGTACCAGAGATTGAACTCAGGACCTTGCTCTTGCTAGGCAGGTGCTTATGCTGCTGAATTATCTCCCTGGCCCATGATTTACATTTTAAAACAATCACCTTGTGTGGAGACTGGACTATAGGGGACAAAGGTCATTAAATCTTAAATATCATTGTTAATATGTACCTAGATTACATAGGAGGGAAAAGCACACATGGCTAATTGGCTATTTTTTTTCCATTAGATATATGCTGAAGCTTTTTACCAGTTAGATTCACTACCCATTATCCTTAAAGAAGACACAGAAAATTTGAGGGAAACAACATATTAAGTCAAGGGCTGGGGAGATAGCTCAGTGACATAAGCGCCTGCCTGGCAAGCACAAGATCCTGAGTTCACTCCCAGTGCTGAAAGAAAAAAAAAAAAAAAAGGCAATGTTTAGGAAAAAATTTGGGCTCTGATAATTTTTAAAAAATAAGTAGCTATTAATAGTTAAGTGCTACAATAAGTAGCAGTCACCTTTCTGTCACTGCAATATAATACCTGAGAAAATCAATTTAAAGGAGGAAAGATTTATTTTGGTTTGTGGTTTCAGTCCATGGCCTCTGGGCCTGTGGTAAGGCAGAGCAGGAGTGTGTGATAAGGCAAAATGGCTTAGATCACAGTGTCTGGAAAGCAAAGGGAGGGCTCGGGACAAAATACAGCCTTCTAAGGTGAGTGCCCAAGGACCTACTTTCTCCAAGGAGGTTGCGCTTCTGAAGTTTCCACTACCTCCCAATAGCCCAGTAAGGTATGAATCCATGAGTGGCTTAATGCATTGATGATAGGAGAATACTCATGAAGAAATCACCTTCCAGGGGTCCTACCCCTGAACACTGCTACGTTGGGGACCAAGCCTTCAACACAGGTAATTTGGGGGGGGGGGACACTTCAAATTACAACCAGAGGAATAGCTAAGCCTGAACATATTCCTCAGTCATAGCTATTGCTGAGTATTTCACACACTGTTCATCTTTGCATCCTGTGAGATACATGTTAATATTTGCACTGTGAAGATGAGAAAATAGAGGCTTGGCAAAGTTAATTTGTCCATATTTACACAGCTAGTTGGAGGACACCTAAGGGTGTCTGACTTTAAATAGAAACTGTTGGTTTTTTTTTTTTTTTAATAGAAACTGTTTTTGATCACCAAAATGTATACTAGACCTGGGTTGTATTTCTGTTATGGAACAGGAAAACCGGATATAAATATTAAAGAATATTTGATTAATAGAAAGAATCCCTTGTTCATGATTGGAAGGCTTAAATTTTGTTAAGATGGTCATATTCCTCAAATTGATCTTCAGATTTAATGAAATTCCCTAACAAAATCCCAGCCTGTTTTTTTCATAGAAGGAATATAAGAAAAAAATAGGACTTCACCCAAATTTAAAAACGTTTGTACACAATATCACACCTGCATATGGGGATGCATGATGCATGCCTGTAATCCTAGCACTTGGGAGGCTGAGGCAGGAGGATAACTGCAAGCTTGAGGCCAGCTTGGGCTATATAATGAGTTCAAGGCCAGCCTGGATTACATAGCGAAGCCCTGTCTCAAAAAAACCCAAAAATATAGGGCCGGCCAGATAGCTTAGGGGATTAAAGCACCTGTTTAGGCAGACACAGGGACTGGGGGCTAGATCCCAGACATGCTGTGCCTGCCCTGCCCCTGGGGCCTGCTGAGACAGACTGAGACTGGGCGTGGTGATGCGCGCCTATAATCTCAACACTTGGGAGGCTGAAAAACATGAAGGATCACTACAAGTCCGATCTGTGTAGTGAGGCCCTGTACTAAATATATTTTATTTATTTATTTCTTTTTTTTCTTTTCTTTTGCAGAACTGGGGATTGAACTCAGGCCCTTGCACTTGCCAGAGAAGCATTTATTCCACTGAGCCATCTCCCTGGCCCCTAAATATATTTTTTTAAAATACCCAAAATTAAAGATAAAGTAATACCACAAAGAATATGAAAAGAAGTCAGGCACCTATTATGTTATTTATAATATCAGCTACTTAGGCTGAGACAGAAGGATAAGTTTGAGGCCAGCCTGGATAATTTAATGAGCTCCTGTCTCAAAATAAAAACAAAACAAAAAAAGGACTGGGACATAAATGTTCACAATAAGCAACTCTATAACATTATTATTTCTAGACACAAAGTAGATTAATGGTTGCTTCAGGATGGGGCAGTTTATTTGAAATATTCCTAGAGATTGATTGCATTCATATTAAATGTTTGGAATATGCAAATCTCAGGCAAAAGATTAGTGGTTGCCTGTGTGGGTGATAGGGGTGGTTTTCTTTGTTTAGTTTTTCTGTGTTTTTCTGGTGCTGGTGATCAAACTCAGGACCTTGCGCTTGCCAGGCAGGCGCTTAAACCACTAAGCTATCTCCCCAGCCCTTTTTCTTTGTTTTTGAGTGGTGAGATTTTTCTAAAATTGATTGTGATGACGACTGCACAATTCTGTGAATCTATTAAAGATTATCTATTGCATATATTTAAAGAGTATATTACATATTATCTCAATTACATCTCAATAAAGCTGTTAAAAATAGTCAACCAAATCACTAACCAATTATAGTACATGGTTAGTAAATACAACGGGGATGATATTAATAATTCCAATCCTAATAGTTTTTAAGTCATGAAATAAAAATTATTTTTCTTTAGATCTGCTTAACTTCAAAGCAATAATGTTTATATGTGTAGTAATATTGAACAGACTTTGCTTTTATGGTGCTAGGATGGAAACCAGGGCATGCTAAACAGATGATCTATTATAGAGCTACAGCCTTACCCTATATACTCTTTCAAGGGCCCAAATCATGCTTTAAGTTGTTGGCTTGCATCCTGGCCTTTTGATGGTGAAAGACAAGCAGCAGTGTATGTATTTAAAGATGTTCATTCATTCATTGAATAGATTTTTACTGAAACTTACCATGTGTGGGGCATGACACTAGAATTGGAGACAAAATGGTGAGTAATTGTGTCCCACCAAGGACCTAACTATGCATGTACATGTACGCAGACAGTGTGTGTGTGTGTTTCTGTGTAGAAGCATGCAAGCATGTGAAACAATAGCTCATTTGTTCAGCTTTTGACCAGTTGCAGGAATGGCTATCAGAAAGGAGAGCACATATTAACAAATTTGGGGGAAATTAGAAATGCAGTTAGTGGGGCTGGGGAGATAGCTCAGTGGAATAAGCACTTCCCTGGCAAGTGCAAGGGCCTGAGTTCAATCCCTGGTTCTACCAAAAAAAAAAGAAAAAAAAAAAGAAAAAAGAAAGAAAGAAATGCAGTTAGTAAGCAGCTTTGTAGTTGGACATTGCTTTAATTTATGTGGAGTAAAAAAGAGATCTGAGCAAATGGGGGTAGGAAAAGGCTTCCAAAACAATTCCTCAACCTGTAAAGAGCCCTGTCCATTTGCAAAGCCAGCAATGCCATAAGCACTGGAAGGTCCTCATGCTTCTCTTCAAAAGTAAAATGTAGTAGTTTTTCCTCCAATCCATCTTCACAAAGATGGAATAATGCTTAACACATAGTAGTGAACAGATCTAGGAGTAAAGGTCATCCTAGAAGTCAAAATGAAAAAAACCATTTGAAGCATACCAAGGTCATAACTGCTCTGAATACACTGTATTTGTTAGCACTACATACATACTGTTATTTCTGTTTGATTGGTGAAGAAATTTCAGCATAAAAGTTACAGCAATTTACTCAGGGACATCCTATTTTTTATTTATTTATTCCTTTTGTGTTTTTGAGGAAGGGTTTCCCTATGTAGTTCAGGCTGGTCTTGAGCTCATTTTGTTGCCCAGGTTGGTCTTGAACTTGCAATGATCCTCCTGCCTCAGCCTCCCAAGTGCTGAGATTATAGGTGTGCACACCCCCCCCCCTGC